CCGGGGTCCTCCGCGGCGGAAGGACGGGGCGCATCCCCCCTCCCGCCAGGCTAAGGCCCCAGAAGGGAATTTAAAAGCACACGTTACCGCCACTCTCCGCCGACGCCCCGGGCCGCTCACAGAACTGCAGATGCGACAAAGCATCACCGAGCCGGCCACCGCCCCGCCGCTGGCAGCGCGGCCTCACCGCCGAGCGCGACGCCCGCGCTCACTTTCAAACGGACCCAACATGGCGGCGGCCCGCAGTGCGCATGCGCGGCGCCTCGCTAGCGGTGGGTGGGGGGCGGGGGATGCTTTGAGAGAGGCTCCATGGGAGAGGGGTCAAAGGGCGCGGAGGGGCGTTAGGCCGCGATCCCAGCTGGGAGGGGTGGTTTCGCGTCTTTCTGGGTTGGAAGAAGGGTCTGGATTACATCCTGGTCCCACGACCACCCCCACCCCCACCGTGGGCCCAGCACCATCAGATGGGCTGACCTTCCTTAAGCCCTCCTGGGGCTGAGGACAGAGCCCTGTGGGTAAGGAGACCTTGAGGAGCTGGCAGCTGCCATTTCTGTGGTAGAAAGCCAACCCCACGGCCCCCCAAGGCCTTCCTTCAAGTGAGTTGGGTCACTTCCTTCCCAGCCTCTGGGCGCCCTTCCTCCCCACCCCAGGGGGGTCCAGGCCCTAGGCCTTCCAGGCTGGGCCCCAGACACCACTTTACATCTGAGCTAGAGAAGGGTGTTGACCCAGGCATGGGATTCAACAAATTCACTGGGGACCCTGAAGAATAACAGTGAGCACGCATTCTTTTTAGGCATCCCAGAAAGAAGATTATACAAATTGATAGAAAGATCCCATAACATGTATCAACCTTATCGACAAGGCTGGGATAGGATATGAGGTGAGAAGAATCCAATTTCAACCAAGTAGGCGAATCAAAAAATATATATCATCTTAATACTGGTTTGTGTTTATCCTCCACACTACGGGCGAAGATATCTTTGACCAATCCTCCATCGCAGTATGCTCCTTCTCATCCAATGTCACATCACCAGGTAATCCAGCTGTCCCCTCTTGCTTATCTGCTGTTTCTTCTTTTCACCGCCTACTACTGTTTTACCTTCCTGTGGTTCTTGGCAAGTAAAAACATTAGAAACTATCAATTCAGTGTAATAGTTGAATTAAGCACATATCAAGTATGGCAATGTTAAGTGATTTGAAAATGATAGGACACAGTCCATGCTGGAGCCGACAGCTAGTGATAAATTCCCATCACGTGAAATAGGCAAATAATACTATAAAGTAGGGATGCTTACCCTAACCAGTGCCATCTTAGCATGTGGTGGATATAAGAGTATTGGGTTTACTGGTACCATCTTGTCTATATGGTGGAGGCAGGGAAGTCCCACTTCCCATTTGATGGGCATGCCTGAATTCCTAGAGTCAGAGGCCAGGATGGGACTATAGGTTACTGGATCTGCCAGTCTTGGGTCTTGAACTCTCAAACTCCCTATGACCCTGCCCCCTGACCTGGCCCTATTTAGGCCCACACCAGCTCAAGTTTAGGTATGCCATGACACATGTCTCCCGTCTACTTGTGTTCTGTCTCCTGGCTCTCCTCCTGTCAACATGGTGTCCCACTTCAGCTCTTCATTGGAGCTGATCTGGTTTGTTGGTCTTCTTTTTCTGCTCTTTCTTTCCTCTCCTGATTTCGTGGCTCCGTTTTCTGACAGTGTTAAGTGTATTTGTGGGTCTGCAGGTCTTTGCAACAAGTCTGCATTTGCCAGCTTTCCAATAAACCAGCTCTCAAAATGTGGCTTCTCTGTTTACTTGCTGGGTAACAATACAAAAGAAAGACTTGTATCTAGGATGAGCTCAGATCTGGAATCAGCCAAGGATTGTTGATGATAGGAATTTAAAATGTTAGAAAGGTTTTTTGTTGTTGATTTTTTAGCCCACATTCCACCTCACTATCCTAACCAGTGCTACTTTCACAGTAATATTTAAAGGTTCCTCATAACTTGTATCTTTAGTTCGTTGACTAGAGAGTGGTAGAGTGCTTCCCTTGGATTTCTGCCACCTCTATTGATTCTAATACTACTTTTTTACATTAGGGTATATATGCAGCTGTTTCCCAATGAAGAAAAAAGTATTAATTTATAAAATATGTTGACCTAATTTGTGGATCAGAATAATTCTACTGCTGCTTTTTTCCCCACACAGGTTAACAGATATGGAGATCTCCACCAAAATTTGGCAAAGAATCCCAATGCTTACTAAAACTCTGGACTAGATATCTTAGGAAAGGTAAAGATGCAGGACTCAAATAAGAAAGAGGTTATAATGGTATACTAAAGTTTTTCTAATATTAAAGGTTATCAGCCTATCCATTGTGCCTTACTGGATAACTAAACAAGAGAAAATAAATTTGTGAATAAACCTGAAGAGTTTTAAACGTGGGCTAGGAATAAAATGTTCTGATAGTTTATTGAGAGGTGTAAGGAAGCCACTCTAAATTAGGGTTTTGAAATGGTAGTTTTAAATTTGTCCATTTTAAGAAAGGATCACCTAGAATAAGACCCCTTACTATTCCAAGCCTTTTTGCATATATTTATTCAGTACTTGTAGATTCCATGTATATGTGGAAACTGAAGCTCAAAAGCTAAGTGGTTTAGTAAGTGGCACCATTAGGATTTTAATCCAGCTGTTTCAATGCTCTTGGCACCATATCTGTTAGATTCTCCTAACTGCAAACTGGTTGATGGCACAAGGATCAAGGAGCCTAGAGCTCCCTGAATTTATTCCCATGAGAAGCATCTTACTTTGTCTTACTTTTGTCTTGATGTAGTCCATTTGGGCTACTACAACACATTGTCCTAAACTGTGAGACTTACAAGTTTCTCTTTTTCTGGGTCGGTCATAGGGCTTGAACTCTGGGTTTGTGCGCTATCCCTGCGCTCTTCAGCTCAAGGCAAGCCCTCTACCGCTTGAGCCACAGCACCACTTCTAGTTTTCTAGTGGTTAATTGGAGATAAGAGTCTTTCCTGCCCGGGCTGGCTTTGCGCCACCGCAATCCTCAGATCTCAGCCTCCTGAGTAGCTAGGATTACAGGCGTGAGCCACCCCTGCAAGGCACTTACAAGTTTCTTTAAAAAAAAATATTTCTCACAGTTCTGGATGCTGTAAGTCTGATCAAGGTGACATGATTAGCTTCTGATGAGTGACTTCTGGAATGCAGACCTGTGTCCTTAGAGAATCAGAGGGGCAAATGAGCCCTCTGTACCCACTTATAAAGACATCTCAGTTATGAGGTCTCTACCCCTATGACCTAATCACCTCATATCACTATCATAATAATGAAGGTTAGGGCTGTGAACTAGGGAGGACCAATTCAAGTAGGGGTTCAGTAAATGCCTTTAAATTGAATTGATATACACTTAATTCTATCTGAAGAGATGACATTGAAGCAAAAAATATGAGTGAAAGAGAATCAGGCATACGAACCCACTGGGGAAGAATTTTTTAAGCAAAGGGAACAAATACAAAATTACTAAGGTAGGGAGTTGGTTGGCTGTTTTTGAGGAACAACCAATAGAAGGGATGTTTGAAGAGGAGGCCTTGGGGTCAAGTTGTATAGTGCTCTAAACAATCACTTTAAAAAAGATTCATTCCCTGCCAGGCACTGTGACTTAGGCCTATAATCCTAGCTTCTTGGGAGGCAAAGCTTGGGGAATCCAGGTTCAAGGCCAAGGCAGAAAGATCACAAGATTCTGTCTCAGCCAATAGCTGGAGGCAGTGGTATGTACCTGTAATCAGTGATGCAGAGAAGCACAAATAGTACACATTACACAGTGTACTAGGATTAAACTAGACCCTATCTCAAAATACATCCAAAAAAAGATCTGGTGGAGCCGGGCGCTGGTGGCTCACGCCTGTAATCCTAGCTACTCAGGAGGCTGAGATCTGAGGATCGCGGTTCAAAGCCAGCCCGGGCAGGAGAGACCGTGA